TGATAAGATAGGGAAAAGTGTCGGCAAAATTGTTTTACTTTCATCTCTGGAATTGTAAATCTTAGCATGGCTGTTCTGCGGTTTTTGTAATCTTTGCTGTATATATCTCAAACCTTGCAACTGCAAAAAAACACACTCAGATTTTCATCAAGCTCATTTGTGTCTGTTTGTCACTCGCCAACTCCTTGTCCACCCTCTCGACGACCCTGTTCCCGTCGGACTGAACTGCCCCGGTCTGGGCTGGTCCGTTGCATGTCACCACACCCAGCAGATACTGTTTTGATCCATTCTAAAGTTTCTACCAGAAATGCAGTCTGTTGAGATGACAGTATTGTTTTCATTTGACTTTAGAGACCTGAAAATCTTAGTCTGATCAGAAGTGTATTTGACTTTTATTGACATAGAGATGACCACAAAGACCCTCTTTGTGCTTAAACATATATAAAAATTATATTTCTGTTGCTGTGATGAAACACCATAACCAAGGCAACTTATAGAAAGAAGAATTTATTGGGCTATGGTTCCACAGGGATAACAGTCCATCATGGAGGGGAGGCATGACAGGAGGAGGCCTCCCAAAGCAGAAAGCTGAGTGCTCACATTTTCAAGTACTCCCAGGAAGCAGAGAGACACAGGTTAGAAATGGGGCTTGGCTATCAACTCTCAAGCCCCACCCCCAGTGATGTGCTTCCTCCAGCGAAGCTGCACCTCCTAAAGGTTCCATGACCCTCCCCAAACAGCGCTGTGAACTGAGGATCAAGTGTCCAAATACTTGGAGACTATGAGGGTAGCGGGGCATTCTCATTCAAACCACCACAGCATATAATGTTATTTGTACCAGTCAGACCTGAATATTATCCTGATTACTCTGTGTCTCTAAAAGATGCTGGTATTGAGCTCATTTGTTAATTTTTGTCCACTTTATTGAATGAGTTTGTTTTTTTCCTTATATATACCTGTGTTGTTTCTGTTACATACTATATTTGTTCTCAAATGTAAACACCACATTTTATAAATCAAAAAAATTTAATGTATGAGAGTTTACATGATGTTAACAGTGTTTTGGCACACCCTTTGCAATAACATTGCCACATAATTATATGTTTGTATGCATCATGAAAACCACATATTAGAAAGCATTGCAAAGCTGCAGTGAGGTGTATTGCATGGCCTGAATTAGGCCTTATGCACACTCCACGGGTCTCTGATACCTCTAATTCAAGTCCTCTTCCTTCTATACATGCCACCACATCTCTTTCTCTGATTGTTTCAGGTGTAGTCAGCAATGACATTATTTTGAGTGACTAGTATACTTGACTTTGGGTTGAAATTCCCTAAGTCAAACGAATTTTAACCTACTTTTTAAAAGTGCCTTTCTGGGCTTTGAGCAAGTGCTATAAAGAGAAGGCTAAAGCTAGCAGGGTTGGATAAAGCAGTAAAGTACTGTACACATAGAAAATCATAATTTTCTACAAAAGGAGTCCTGTTCTTTTTTATTTTTCTTGTAGGGTTTATTTTTTATGTATTTAATCTCCATACTTTTCTATTGGACAAATTCATATTATTTACATCAGACTTTATCTGTGGCATATTTAATGAATATAGAACTCATAAACACTTAAGTAAAGCTAAATTTAGATTATTCTCTCGGGTTC